TCATCATCATCATCATCATCATCATCATCATCATCATCATCATCATCATCATCATCATCATCATCATCATCATCATCATCATCATTATCATCATCATCAAGTGCCATGTCTGCGACAGACGTCAACGTCATGGCTCTCCATTCATTCCTTTGCTCGGGTGTTCACAATAATGCTACATCATCCTGATCTTTCGCCATCAACCATCAGTTTAGGCTCTCAAAGTAGATTGTTTTTCAGAATTCTATCAATTTTTAATGTGATATGAAACTTGTTAGTACTTACAGTACTGTCGGCGACTTCGGTCGCCAGGCCGTAGTATACGCTCAGCACTGCTAGCGACGAAACCAGACACACTAATTAAGCATAATTAAAACAATAAATGGACGCACTGCACTGAAGTAAATACCAAAGGAAGTCACCCTGTAATATGATAGCTGAATGGTTGATGAACCTCTATAAATTCTTAAGTAGTGTTTCATGTGCTGCCAAGGTTTTCTTAATTTAAAAGAAATTCTACCACGGATTTAGCGTTCTAAACTGGTGCGGTTTTGCATGACATGAGCCTTCGGTAGTGCAAGTTGTAAACCACATTGCGACGACAATAGCAGCAAGAAGGACAACAACAACATAATCAGTTGTCTTGGTTTTAGCCTTAGTAAGCGTTTTACAGCACTTGTAGTACAAAAGGGACGTCGTATAAATGCCGAAGATTAGATGTCCGTGCTATTAGAGAGTAACATACAAAGGAAAGAAAGACAAGAGAGAAGGACGATAATGTACTTTGTGGAGGGGATGTAGTGTAATGAAGTTTTTTAAAATAAAATATGTAATTAGTCTAAATCATCTACCGGGGCGGTGCCACTGACTGAAGTGTTGTTAGGCCATTCCCAAAGGGGGGGATTTCTCGTTCATGCACAGTAGAATTATAAATGGGCTGATTCATCAATGTCGCGCTCATAACTGTGCCAGATCTACAACAGGGAACTGCTGCTTTTTCTTTCCTAATCCTTTCTATTGTCATTTTCCTCTACTTCTTTTGTATCTTTGTCACACTCTTGTGACCCACTATTTCCGGGGTTCCTTGGTAGTCGAAGCAGACTTTGTGCTATTGAAGCTAGAGAGGTGAGCAAAATAAGTCTGATTCCCTGTAAGGACTTCTCTGTTGACATCCACCCCTTGGCGCTCACATGACCTTATGCAGTTCCGAGCGCCGTAAAACCTCAACTAAAACTAAAACTAAAACTTAGTCTAAATCAAATTGCTTAATCGTGTGTAATACAAGGTATGTGTTTTTACGCCCCCATAAACATGTTGAAACGACAACAATGACAATAAGAACAAACATTGATATTCCAAACAATTAGCAACAACAACGACAAACACAGCAGCAACATTAACAAAAAAACAGCAAATAATCTGCAATGTGATGACAACGGGGCGGCAACAACAGCAACAACAAGAGCTATTTTAAATAATGTATCACCGTGAAACCGTGGCAGCAGTGCCATAAATACATACAACAGCAACGACGATAACAGTGAAAAACAACAGCATGTAATTCTTTTGAATCTAATTCTTTTATGTCCCCATCGATAAAATTTTTGATAATTTAGGAGGCAAGCTTTATCCTTGCCTGTTGTAGCCAATCCGGGTCATAAAGTATAATAATTGTACTTCCTAGCAGAAAGACCTAAATACTCTACAAAGATTCTCCCAGCTCGGGAATCCTACTCGGATCTTCTGTGCGCGACGGCCAAGCACAACAGAAACCGATAATAACAGCATTATCAACAATAATTTTATGAATAAAGTCTTCTGTGTTAATGCATGCCCCTCCACTCCGTGAAACTGGCATTTATTGCTGAAACGCGAAGATAACACCGTTAGAAAACTGGAATTAATATTTCATACACATCACCATCCCTTTCAGCTCTTCTACTAACGTTTTTACTGTTATAAATCAACAACGTAACCTCTTCATCTGTCACTTAGCATGCCAAAATAGACGATAAAGCGTCAAATATTTAAAGACAGCATTACGGATGACGAAGTAAAGGAAACCAATAAAAAGATAACACGTCCTGAGACAATATGATTAACACTGGAGTCTGTGGTGTAGCGGTAGACGGTTTGCTATCGCATGCAGGAGACTTGAGTTCGACTCCTGAGAGGGAAGACAAATTTTAACCAGTTTCTTGGTCATTTTCTTGGAAAGTTTTATCCATCTCAGTCGGGATTGTCCTTAACAGTCTGGGTCGTGAGCCTGTCTCCTAAATGATCTAAATCGTGTCGACGGAGATATAAAAACACGTACATAAAAAAAACAATCCTAAATGATCTAAATCGTGTCGACGGAGATATAAAAACACGTACATAAAAAAAACAAAAAAACAAAACAAAAAACGTAACAAACAAAACGAGGAGAAAGGTCACCTGTACACAGCCAGCATCACGATGAGGGCGATC